ATCTAGAGAGTTATGGCTGTTCAAAGTAGGGTTTACCTACTGAAAAACTCTCAGATGCACATATATAATGTTTTGAGTATTTGGGGGGTCAAAACTCAATGTTTTTGAGTGAGACCAATTGCATTGCAACCCCAACTCAATAAATAAACTTTTAGAAGAAACCTCATAACATTTRAACATGTCAATTGCAAGATATGGACGATTTGTGCACAAGCACATAATCTGTCAGCACMAGAATATAAGATTTTTAAGAAATAAACCACATAAAATCATGATTTCTTCCTATCTTTTTGAGTTCTAGTGTTTGGGTCATAGAATACCACCATCATATAATCATTCTTACATGTTTTTTGGGTATAATCTCTCCTTAAAACTCAATATTTTCGAAACTTAGAAAATAGAAGATGAATAATGCATAAAAGTGAGTTTTTCTCCCCAAAACTTACAAGAAAAGTAAATGGATGAATGTATTACCTTGTTTGATGATGAAATGGAATGTTGTATCTTCAAAATCTTGCTAATATGATGAAGATAATAAGAAAAACGGCTGAGTGAGATGGAGAAGAAGGAGATAACTCAAGGTGACTCTTGAGTTTTTAGGGAGAGAAAATGGGAGGAGTTTTGAAATTTGAATGGAGAAGTAATGAGAAATAAAGAGAAATGAAGCTATATATATGTGGAAGGAGGGAGGAAAAAGATAGGGGAGGGGCCGGCCAAGAGAGCCCAAGCCCACCTTCAAAACACATTTTTTTTTACAAAACTAAAGCCCAAAATGTACAAAAGGCCATTTTCTCAATTTTGACATTTTTCTTCAAATTAAAAGCCCATGATGACTAAACTTATTTAAATGGAAAGGTTTTATATTTAAAACACTAAAACTTAGTGTTTTATATATATTGGGTATACATTAGAGCATTTGGTACTGTATAGGACGTTTCAGATAATTTCGGGTCGAAACCGGGCTTTCTAAGCAACTGTCGGAATCTCTTAATTTTTTTTTTTACCAAACTAACCTAACTAACTCCTAATCTTATAAATTACCTTCAATAACACTAATATAATCTTAATAAAAGCTAACYTGAGATTTCGAATTTGACAACTGTCACAAAGGCCAACCAGAAGCAAGGGTCAATCAGAGGCCTTCTGGTCTTACCAACCAGAGCCCCTTTGGCTAACCAGAGCCTCTGGTTTGTCTATCCAAAGCCTATGGGACAAGAATGTTAAATACTTGAAAGAATTTAAGTTCCAAATACAACGAGAGACCCTCTGGTTAAACAAGAAAATCAACTAGAGCCCCTCTGGTTCCTTTATCATAGATTTGAATATTTTTCCAAGGTTTAAATGAACAACCAGAAGTAAAGTCATCTAGAGGTCAGGCCAACCAGATCCCCTATGGTTATAAAACAATTTTCACTTCATCATAATAACTCTTATCACATCAATTGAATGCGACAACCCAAGTCCTCGCATCACACAAATGCGATAACATAATATCATCGCATCACAAGGATGTGATAACAAAAACATATGATCAAACCTAGATTTCACAATTTCATGATTATGCCACTCTTATCCTGGTAACACCTTTCCTTGATATGTCATCCTTATCCCAGTATAAACCTCTCCTTGATATGCCACTCTTATTCCATTATAAAACTCTCCTTGATATGCCACCTTTATTTCCACACAAGATATAATGATGACAAAAGCCCACCATTTTTGCTAGTAATAGCATCAATATAGTTTCATAAAATAAAAAAAAACTCATATAAAGAAACATACAGTTCTATACCCAGTCTCACCATCATGCTAAAATAGCATCCAAAAACAATTATATCATCGTCCCCATAACCATATGGTTCAAATTTCAAATACCAAATAAGGAAGATTGATAAACTTAAACTCACCTTATGTTCACGTAGATGAAGATGAATTAATCACAACAACAAATTCAAGTAGAAATCACATAATCAACTTCTTCTTTTCCTTACAGACTTGTTTACTTTACACACAAAGTAACACATACAGAAAAGCTCACTTTTCTTTTCTCCACCAAAATCAATGAGATAAGATAATTATTTTATTCAATACGTTACTTTAAACCATAAGAGGCGGTGGAAGATTTTTTTAAACAATTAATCACACTCTTCCATGAAATAAATCAAATCTCGTACATAATAACATTTAGGCGGTGAGAATTATTTTAAACATTTAAGCACATACACAAATTAAAACTTTCCATCACCTTTCAAAAACCACACCAAATTTTATATCCAAATGGTAATTATCACAATAAACATGTATAATTTTTTTTTAAATAAAAATGTAAAATCAGTACCTGTAAATGACATAACTTACTGCAAGTAACTAATAATACAACACAAATACTATTTTATTAAAAACTGGATGAAGCCATATTTTTAAAACTGCTACCTTTCATTTTTCTTGCCATAATAAAGGTTGACATCATAATGAATTCTTATAATTTTTTTGTCTGGATAGACAGAATGATTCAGGTGAGATCCAATGTGACTTGTCAATTTATCTGATAAATTACTAGGGGTTCATGTGACCCATTTTGAATAAGAGAAAGAAGTGAGGAATCCGTCACCGAATAAAAAAATTAGATGTTATCATATAGCTCTGTATCGGCTTAATTCATGAATTGAAGTGTACTATATATTAAAATAAAACATTGCATAAATATAATAAAATAATATAGAATATTAAATTTTAATTGCAGTTAATTGTATAATTAATTAAAAGTGACCTTAATTTTTTACGATACTTTTAATAAACATACATATTTATTTAATTATTTTATTAAATTATGTAATTTATTTATAATTTAAATGAAATTATTTTACAATATTAACTTTATTATTTAATTTAAATCTTTTAATATTAAATTGGGCAAAATGCACAAAATAACAATCTATTTTCATAAATTTCTTTATTATAACATTGTACTTTCAGTTTTTCTTATTACAACAATGTACTTTCAAACTATTTTTTATTAGGACATTGTACTTTGAAAAATTTACCCATTATAGCATTGAGTAACATTTTGATTTAAATTTACCCATTATACTGGGTTTCCATCCCACCTAATTATCCATGTAGGCTGTCTATATATATTATAGTGATGTGACTTTCTTAATACATCATTGTACTTTCAAAATTATTTTATTATAGCATGTTCTAGTTCTTATTAAACAATATATTTTTAATTTTAATATTTAGATATTTTATATGTTATTTAATAAATGAATTAAAAAAATTCTAAATTATTCATTAATATACCAATATCAATAAAACTAGTAGAACATAACTTATCTTGTTAATATTTTTAAAAAAATGTGTTTTTTGAAAAATAGGAAAATAAGAATTGTTCATTTTTTACCAAAAAATATTATCTTTTAAAAAATATATTATATTTGTTCAAAAACTTTTTACTTGACGTATAAATATATTAAATTAATTAGATTTTTTTGAATTATTTATTAATATAACAATATTAAAAWWTTGTARATAACAATTTATTTCGTTAATATTTTAAAGAGAACTTTAAAAGATATGTATTAATTTGAACAACATAAAATAGGAAAAATTACTTTTTTTACAAACAAAATATATCTCGAAAATAATGTTTCATATTTATTTAATAAATATTTTACTTTAAGAATATTTAATTTGAATGCAACTTAATAAGAAAAAGTAAAAAAATAAATAAATGTTTTTTTAGATCATAGTAATGAAAAATGAAAATCACTAATAATAATTTGAAATAGATTTTTATTTTAATTTTAGTTAAGTCATCAAAATGATGTGTCATCCACATCACCTCATTAAAGACACACAAGCAAAAAAGTCATAGGGTTAACCGGTTTAAAATGTAACAAGTTATCCATTGCTATTATATGTAGATTTTTTAAAAGTACAATGACTTAATAAAAAATAATTTGAAAGTACATTGCTGTAATAAAGAAAAACAAAAGTAGAATGCTATAATAAGAAATTTTATGAAAGTAGGTTGCTATTTCATGCATTTAACCCTATTAAATTTAAGAAAAAATTGCATCGAAATGGAACCAACTTTCACCTGATTCCAATTTTGGGGAACCAACTTTCAAAATCGTCATTTTGGGAAACCAACTTGCACCTGATTCCTATTTTGGGGAACCAACTTTCAAAATCGTCATTTTGGGAAACCAACTTGCACCTGATTCCTATTTTGGGGAACCAACTTGCAAAATAATTATAGAAAAATAACTAAAATTCGTTTTTTCTCAAAAATTAATGCAATAAAATCTATTTTTCATTTCAAATCTCGTTTTTTTTCCAGATATCAAATTGAAGATTTTTTCAAAAAAAAAAAAAAATCCAAATTATCATAATAAAAATTGTTTTTTTTTACTAATGCAATAAAAAAATCAATTTTATAAAAAAAATTAATTGATGTAATAAAAAATAAATATTAAATATCACATTCAAGATTTTTATATCTAACCAATTCGTATCAATATTAAATTTTAAATCAAATTTGGCAAATCAAACAAAACATTTGATAGAGACACTTAAATTACCTGTTACCTGTTCAACAAATCAACCAGATTCTTAAATAAACAAAAAGTTTGATAGAGATCCCTAAATGACGATTTTCAAAGTTGGTTACATAAAATAAAAATTTCGTGAAAGTTGGTTCTATTTTAATATAATTTTTCCTAAATTTAAAATAATTATTATACTGATTATCTCTCTATCTCTCTCTATATGAAATTATTGAAGTAAAAATTAATTGTTAAAATGAAATCTCAGTCTCATTCAAACGCCTTCTTTTGATTTTGGTTTCATTTCTGAGCTCCAATTTTACTCCAATGACGGCCCCAAAACAACGGCTCTTCTTCTGTATCACCCTAATTCTCTTTCTCTTTGCATCTTCAGAAACCCTTCATGATTACCAAGCAGAATACTCGGATGACTCATCTCTAAAAATCAAGCACGAACAGCTCCTAGCAAAGATTCACAATTTAGGTCTCGCTTTCTCTTCTTCATTTCTGTATTGATGTCGCAAAATATTTTAGTTTTGTAAAATCAACTATGAATTTGGTTTAGTTTCACTCTGGTTAAATGGCTGGTGATCGTATGTATCGTATGAAGAAATCATGTGGTATTCTTTCTAGGTCTTTCGGAAGGAACCATTTTTTTTGGGCTTAACTGATGGTATGAACTATAGGGTTTAGCTATATGTCTTTCTTGAATGCTTGAATCTTCACAAATTTGTTCAAATATTTTCAAATGATGACTGCCGGTTCTTTTGCATCTTCATCATTTGAAAGATACCTTGGAATTGTATCATTTTGCTGTTCTCTCGTCCTCTTTGTCTCTCATTTGTTCAAAAATTTGAAGGTTAATGGTTCGTGTGTTTCTTGGTTGTAACTACTAAGATGATTTGCTTTTAAACTAATCTCTTGTAATTTAGACTTGTTTATATCTGAATAATGCAACCATCTTGAGTTTATTGATATATATCAGGTTTTTTAAACTTCTTTCTTTGGTAAGAGAAGCTAGCCTATCAGAACCTGTTCTCCTTATATTGTAAACCATTTACTTTCTAGGGATATATTGGCTTTTTTTACAACTACTTGCAGTTTCATTGGCAACTTTCGCACTAAACTGCTCATTTTTAACCTTTTATTCTCAGAGTCCAGCATTGAAAAGAGGAGCCATGAAATATATTCCAAGGATGAAAGAATTAAAATACTGGAGACGACTGTGGTTGAAAAATCAAATAGTTTGGCCTCCTTGCATGGTGAAATTCAGTCTCTCCAGGTCAGTTTTTGCAAAAAGTTTACTTGCAGACTACTATTGTTTGCATGCAAAGTAATTAAAAATGTCTATTTTCTTTGATGGTGTTCTAGTATAGTGCTGGCATTTTCATTGCTTTATTATGATTTCAAACATTCATGGTTTAATGATTCATGAACCACCCCATGTCAAAATTGCCTATTGACTTTATTTTTTCATCAACTTGCTATTTTCTGATTTATTACCTCTTTTATTAGCTAGCATTTATCTCCGCTTTCGGTTACCATCTTTGATCCTATCAAATTCTCATTTTATGCAAAGAGTTCTGATCAGAAAACTGTGAGATTGCAATTCTTAAGGCTGATGATTAATGTTTTGAGGTCCTTAAGTAGCTAAGTTAGATTTTACTTAGTATTGCCATTAGAGCAACTCCTGGAACATATGTATGACAACGTCTTTCTTCAATCTCTCATAATTTCCTTGTAGATTCTGATTCACATACCCAGTAGCAACCCCAGAAAGTTACCGTATACCCCTAGTTTAGACTTTAGACAAGGCTGGTCGGCATTGCTTTTCTCTCCTCCAGATGCATGCCAAGGTTGGAAATGTTTAGGGTATGGGTCTTTCTATTAGGGAGGAAGCGATAAAGGATTAGATTGCAGACCTAAATTTGAATTTCAGATGTACTCTTTTTATTAAAGCTTAATTGCTAGTCTTTATGGATATTGAAGGTGTAAAGAATAGTGATAATATTAATGATGGAAAACTGCATACGAAGGGTAATTGATTTTACATTTGATAGTGGAAGGGAAAACAGTGACAAAGTAACAGTGAATCAGTAAATGATTTGGAACACACTTGATTAAAGGATCGTGTCCTAAAGGATAAAAATGACTATCAGCTTATTCATATGACAGCAAGTTCTATATAAGTAAAGCACTAAAGCTTGAAGACAAAGTATGTACACCACATGTTAGCTGTTCTAATAGTCTCCAATTTGAGAAATTAGAGCCAAACTTGTATGTGGAATTCTTGAGGATCCAATTTTCAAATTGAACTGCTGAGTATGACCATCTTTCAAATCTTTAATTTCGTGATACGCATCGATGCATGTGGGAAGAAATGCCTGATAGGTGTATTTCAAACCAATAGATAGTTGTATAGCTGGGGGTAGTGGTACCTACAGATCTTGCATACAATAGATATTTTGCTGTATGATTCTGCCATAGTAGTAGAAAATGGTCAACTTTACATGAGAAGGTGGTGGATTACCATTGAGGTTAGTTTTAGTCCGTTAACTAGGCATTGATGTTATTGAGAAGATGTAGATTGTTGGGAAGTAAATGTTCAAGACTGGAATGTAGTGATTGATTTGGACATCACAAGATTAGTCTGGTATGGAGTAACAAAGTCTTTCATAGTTTTTTGGAGCCGTTAAGATTCTTCAGATTATGTTGATCTTTCCCTCTCTAGCTTCCATTTTCTACCCACAGCTAGACATGTTCTTGAATTGTTATGGTTGACAAAAGAATGATCAACTTTTTGTACGTGTGTCCATTGTTGTAAAAATCGATTAAGGTGTATGCCTCAAGGTGAGGAGGTCCAAAAACGTCCTTGAGGCGTCACCTCTTGCTGCATATCTTGGGCATACGCTTTGAGGGGTGAGGCAGTGGGTGAGTCGTTGAGGCTTGTGAGAGGTGTGTGCTCTGTTTAGGATAAGAGTTTCAGTGATTTCCTAATTCAATTCTCTCACAAGTTCCACGTTTCTATATTTCCTTTGTGAGTGGTAGTGGCAGGCCGACTGTACATACATATACATATATGTATACATATACATATTGTGTCTAAAGTCTCCCACTTTTAAAAACATTAGGTGTATATAATATTTCCTTAACGGCTTACTTATACAACTCTCGTCTCTCACAGCTCACTTTCTGCATTCTTTTTGTTAGTGGAGTGGCAGACCACCAGTGTGTGTATATATATATATATATATATATATATATTCATGTCCAGTGGCAGTATATATAGTGTATATATATTTTGTATTTATGTATATTGTATATATATGTTTGGTATTTATGTTTTTGTGTATATAAATTACTATTTAGGTATTTTGTATATGTATGGTGTCTACTGATTATAATTTTGTGTATATATATTATTTTGAATTTTATTTATTTTCCGCCTCGAGGTTTACGAATCGCACCTCACCTCCCATTTCTGTACTAAAAAACCTTGCACGTATGAAGCCATCAGTTTCTTTGGAAATTGTGCTTGTTCTATATCCCTTTTAGCTGGTACTTCTTGTGCGTAGTTGGTCTTGTTCCATTCCTTTTGCAATGCTTTCTTACGTTGATATTCTGAAATGCTGTGCGCATTTTGGGGGCAGGGTTCGATCTGCTATTTTTTAATTAAAATAATGTTTAACCGTCAAACAACAGAGAATATAAATGCCTTTTGAGGAGATTGTAGAATAAAACTTCAGGTGATTGGGCACATATAATAGAGCACCAGACTGTCGATTATAAAAAAGGTTACGCCATTGATGCTGATGGCAATGTTATAGCTATATAAATCTGACATATGTTAGACCTTGCTAGTTATGGAAAATATTGCTTTGGATACATATGATGAACAAGGTAAGAGCATCTACATTGTGTACATCCTTAATGGGTGCATCAACTATTAGTCGGTCTCAATTGGATTTCGAAAGGTGGTGGTTCACTGTCGCTATGGATGTGTATGATCATTGATTTCTCTTGACACCAAGTTGATTTGGTGAGACATGATATGTTTTAGCAGAAAAAAGAATCTTTTGATGCCAAGGAACAAGTGGGTGAGGCTCATGCACAGGCTGGCGAACTTGAAAAACAGGTGATGTTTATAATAGCATCAACCGATATATTATCATTTATGGATTCCTCTAACAAAGTGCTTTTCGATAGGTTGAAAATCTTAAAAAGGAAATAGCAAGGCAAAACAGCGAAAAGGATTCACTGGAAGCTCGAATAAATGTTGCTGAGACAAAAATTGAGGAATTGAATGTGAAACTTGAACAGGTAACTATGAATTATTAGTTTTGTGTGACAGAAAAAAATGTGTTGCAAGATAAATTTAAGGCAGTTATTTCTGACCACAGAAGTTATTTCTGTTACTGATGCAATGTCTGCTATTTTGATAAAGGTTTTGTTGAGACGAGTTGTGTTTTTTTGTTTTCCTCTTTCATGTTAGAGTGTAATTCCATGCCAATTGCTAGGTGCATTCTTGCTTTGCCTTCATAATTCTCATTAAGAGAACTCGTCTCTTGAATATTTTTTTTTTCCAAAAAATAGGAAACTTATTTCTGTCTTGTAATGAACATACTGAGTAGTTTGCAACTCTTGGAACTTGCCTTTTGGTGGGTCCCTTTTCGTCCCAAATTCATTCTCTCTTTTTCCTTGTAAATAATATTTACTTTGTCATAAGCCTCTCTTGGAAATTATGGTGCTTTGAAGTTACAGATTATACAAAAAGTGGCTTTTTATGTTTGTAATAATCTGCTTATTAGGCTCAACTTGAAGTCAGTGCATGATCCATTAACAGTCTATCAAAGAATTGCAAGATTCATTTTGGGACGAAAGCACTAGACATACTACAGTTCCATAGAAAAATGAGAATTGCATTGCTCTATACAAGTTGAAGAATTCAGTTTTGAAAATGTTGAAGAACATCATACCACTTTGGAAGTTGAAACTCACCTATTTGACCACCAAAGTTAAATGTGAAGTTAAATGGAGGAATTGCGTCCAATGATTCATGATTCAATATCCCTGGACCTTGAGGTGTGATAACACTGAGCAGCAGATGATATCATGACACTACTATTTTCAAACACACCTCTCCCCAGACAAACATTGCAAATGTTAATTCCTTTTTTAATATATTTTTCCAGCTCCAGAGGATAATTAAAGAACAGAAGATTAGAATTCGTAACACAGAACGCGCTTTACAGATGGCTGAGGTTTGTTGAAAACTTGACTTTCTAGCAGTCCAAAATGTTATCTTCCTTTAGATAATTGCAATGACTTTAATATGTCTTCAGGAAGAAAGAACGAGAGTCCAATTTAGAGCTGCACACTACTCTAAAGAACTGGCAGAGGTATATGAAGTTCAACTGTTTGTATTATTAATTTGACTTATAATTCCATTTTTAGATGCCTTTTTTTACTTTCTGTGTTTCATTTTTGGTTTAAATATTTTTGCTTTGTAGTTTCTTTAAGGGCTAACCTTTGGGGGGTTAATATGCAACTTGAAGCTTAATGCTTCAAATTGTGGTAGCAGCCTATCTGCTTACTTGTGTGCAGGTGAGGCTACATTCTCTGAACCTTTCCAAGATACATCTCAGAAGCTGTGTATATGCACCATCCTCCCACATGGATCATATACATCTTTAAGTTAGAGATCTCTGTGTTCTGATTGTGTTGTATGACTACTGTGCTTTCCTCTCTCTCTTTTGGCTTGATCTCCTTTGAATAGCATAAGTAGTACTAAACCCGGACCCCACTGACCTCAACCTGAAACCCGACCAACCCGAACCCGAAGCAGTCCGAAATCCAAAAATTAGGGATTGATTTCCATATCCGAAATCCGATCGGTTTTTTGATTTTCCCACCCGAACCCGCCCGCCCCGCCCGATGCACACCCCTAATAAGTACAACCTCCATCATAATTTCGCAGCCTTTTAAAATAAGATTAGCTCTCGGCATCACTTTCTCATTTTCCATCTTCAACAGAAGCCTCAAGCAACATAGGTTCTCTTTATCTAACCAGACACTGGAGAGCTCTGCCACTGGTTTGGTTTTCTATTTGTTGTTCAAATCCCGATGCAGCAGGGCTGTGACTGATAATATGAAAAGGTTATTATGGCAGCAAGACGGAGAAAACTGGTGGAAAAGTGCCTTGATGATCCTCTAGTGCCAAGGCATCTCCATCTAGGGGTGTAAATGATGTTGAGTCGAGCTCGAGTATCGGTATACTCGACTCGAGCTTGGTAGGTATTTCTCAAGCTCGAATTCGACTCGGAAACTCACGAGTAGTTAAAAACTAAACTCGACTCGAACTCACTTACAATTTTTTATGCTTGAACTCGAGCTCGAACTATCTCAAACTCAAACTTGAATCAAGCTCAAACTCGAACGAAGCTCGAACTCGAATGAATCAAGCTCGAACTTGAACTCGAATCAAGCTCAAACCGAGCTCATCCATTGGAATTTCTGAAATTTTAAAGTATTCTTTTATAAATTATAAAACTTAAAGATGTTTTTTTTGACTTTATAAAACTCAAAGATGTACCCATAGTTGTGAAAAGCGCGCCTAGGTACTGAGGCGCAAAGGACTGGGCTTTTTCATTGTCAAGGCGAGGCGAGTTACTGAGGCGCACCAAGGCGCAGCAGCTTGGCTGAGGCACAAAATGGGCTTAGGCGCGCCTTATACAGGCCTGCCCTAAATTCAAATAATTTTCTTCTCTCTTAGACTTCTACAAAAAATTGTTATTAAACAAGTCAAAACCTAATATTAGTTATGTCTTTTAACCTCTTAGACTTCTACAAAAAAGAGTTATTAAACAAGTCTATTCAATTCTCTATTCAATTCTAATCAGTCATCTCCTATAAATACCTCCCATACATCCGTCCCATACATTGTACTCTCCTTTATGGCTTTAAACCTTCTGGAATCTGGATTTCTGGTTGTTGACCTTATTGAGATACGTTTGATATTACTACTTTTTGGAAATTGAAATTGAACTATGTTTAATGGTAGTTGAGTTGATATTACTACTTCTTATATAATGGTATTTGAGTTGTGTATTACTATGTGTGTGTGTATATATAATTTTTATACAATGCGCCTCGCGCCTAGGCCCCAGGACCCCTTTGCGTCTAAGTGTGCCTTGTGCCTTTAACAACTTTGGATGTACCTCAAATTTATCATCAAAATGACAAAGTTACAAACTCCAATCGCCTCCCTCTCTTTTTATAACGCCTCTTCTCCCTTCCTTTAGTATCTCTCTTCCAATGTGAGACAACTTCACCATTTAGTACCTCCTTTCCAATGTGGAACAACTTCACCATTTAATACCTCTTTTCTTTTTGGTCTTCTTTAATTATGATTCAATAAAAATAATGATTAATTTTTATACTTGAAAAATATACAATTTTGTGCAAATATTTAAAAATTATACTACAATTTTCTTTTTATTGGTAAGTTGATTATATCTCTTACAAATTATATTATAAAACTAATTATATATAAAAATAATCGAGTAACTCATGAGTTTTTCGAGTGGAGTATCGGGTAGCTTGACTCGACTCCTTACTATGTCGAGTCGAGCTCCAATTCAAGCCGAGCCTATTCGAGCCGAGTGTTGACCAATCTTTGACCGAGTCGATCTTGAGTAGCTCGCATGTAGTCTCGTATCATTTACACACCTACCTGCATGTGTATTGAGCTTTGAACACAAAGTCTTAAAGTACCTCTAGAACACTAAAATTGTACATAAGTTTCCGACATATGCATGACCCTTAAGTTTAAAAAAAACCAAATAGGAAAAAAGGTGAAAGGAAGAGGGAATAAATAAAGATGGAAATGCTGCTGACAATATCAACTCCCATTGATTTCATGTGGTGGAAGTGCAACACCATGTCGTTTTTCTGTACCTTACAATACCCAAAAGGAAGAAGATTGAACCTCGGAGCTGTAGGTCCTGTGCCAAACAAGCTGCTTAATAATTCAGCTACTTCAATTGCAGTCAGGTGACTGGTTGTATTATCTTCTTAATCCCTCTCTCATTGTTTTACCCCTGATAGGGTTTTGCAGCTGAAACAACCTAGAATGTGAAATAACTAAATGCCTGATCATGTTATATAAGTATAAATAGATCCCAAACTTCTAAATCAGAGATGGCTGTGCTAAACTGCTAATTGCAACATTTTCAAAGAATGCTCATTGGGGTTAAGGTGTAAGGTGATTACGTTTCTAGGAACAACCAATAGATAGATAGATATCTCTTACTACCTTCATGGCAAGTGTTTCTAAGGCTTGACAACTTTGTGAGACATATCTATAAGGTCAGTCATACAAAATATAGACAAGTGCTTCTACTTCTTTCCTAAGAGGGTTGGAGGAAGGCTTCCATTATCCCCGTAACAACAAACAAATTTCTTACCATTAACCAGGGGCTTTGTATGGGTTTGGCTTCATGTATTTGTGCTTTGCAAGAGTAACGAGTCGGGCCTTCTATATAGAGTTATTAATTTTTAAAGTTTTAGAGAAATTATGTTGTATTATTTCATAGATAATAATCTGGTATATATAAAGCCCAAAAGATCTAGAATACATCCGCAAATTTAAGGGATTTGCTAACCAAGAAAATGGAACTCTTTACTGTAGAGGAAATAAAAAATATCTGCTAATGATAGAAATATTATCCTATGAAATCAGTTATTATGTTCTGTATTATAAAATAGGAAGATTAATTTCTGCCAACACTCTGCTCAAGCTTGGGGTGAGAATATTCTCCATCCCAACTCCCAAGCTTGTTCAATATTTGTTGAAGTGAAGTATTGGCTAGTTCTTTGGTAAGAACGTCAGCGAGTTGCTCTCCTGATGGAACACATGGAATACATAACAAGCCATTTTTGGGTTTCTCCTTTATAAAGTGACAATCTATCTGCACATGCTTTGTGACTAGATTATGGGCCATGTTAATGGCTGATTTATTTTCACAGTACAGTCTCATGGTTCCTTTCCAATCAATTCCCATGTTACCTAGGAAATTTTTTACCATAGAAGTTCAGACTCTCGTAATGCCATAACATAGAATTCAACTTCAACACCTGACCTTGCCACTACTGCATGTTTTTTACTTCTCCAAGACACACGATTTATCCCCTAAAAATGTGCGAAGTCCTGAGGTTGATCAACTGTCCAATGCCAAACATGCCCCATTTGCAACAGTGTAAGCTTCAAGGCTAAAGATGCATCTTTATTGTAGAGGATCCCGTTGCCAGATTGCCTTTCAAGTATCTTAAGATTTTGTATAAAGCCTTTTTAAGTGTACTTCCTTGACACCTACTGCATAGGCTATTATCCAGGCCAGTGTGCAATAAGTAGATTAACCCTTTCCATTGGTGTATCTCCTGCAATAGATCTAGAATATATCTGTTAGAAAGGACTATGCGATTCCAGGGAAATACTTGAGTTTTTCTAGTTCTTTGATTTCAAATTATGTTGTCAACTTCTTCCAGAGCCTTCCAATCTCACAAAGATCATTTGTGGTCACAATAATATCATCAATGTACACAATCAAGGATGTAACTTTACCCCTTCCCGATCTCTTCACAAACATGGTATGCTCTCCTTGTTGCTATTTAAATAAACTTGATCATCTATATCTCATGTAACCTTACCCCTTCCCAATCTCTTCACGAACATGGTATGATCTCCTCACAAACATACCTCGCAGAGCGTCCTCAGTGCTTTTCATATCAATACAGTGTAGTCGAGTTTGAGCCGTAAGTTATTAGAAGTATTATAATACTCTGTGACAGATGTGATACCAAGTTTCGTTGAATGAATTTTGGTTTTTATTTTGAAAACCAATGGAACATCCTTCACTTTAGATTATGTCTGCTTCAGTTTTTCCTAGATATCCTTTGCAAATGTCAAAAACATGCAGTTTTACTCACTTTTGGATGCATCAAGTCCCCCAGCCATGAAATAATCAACGATATCGAGTATCTCACTGGTCATATTTGTATCAGGGTCTTCTTTTCTTGGTTTGTTGGGTTGAGTAAACGATGAAGTTTGCTTTTTTTCCCCTCGAGTTTTGTGCAAATCACTTGGGACCAGATCGTGTAGTTCCTTTTATGAGACCACACTAGGCAGCTTGAATATTCCCAAGGTCATGCAGGTGTGCTCCATGGACAGCTTCAGTTGGTCTAGTAAAATAGTTTCAACAATAAAGGCTGAAGAACAAAAGAAGAATAGGGTAAAGCTGTGTCTCTGATGCCATTAAGTTCTATAGAAATTTGGTTCTACTATTTCATTGATAACGAACTGGTTTATATACAGTCTAACAGGCCTAAAATACATTTCCTAGATTTAGGGATTTGCTAATCAAGAAAAGAACCAACTTTCTGACTACAGTGAAAATTACAAAATCTGCTAACACTATAAATATGTCCCACGAATTCAGAGATTATATTTATTGTATTATAGAATAGGAAGGCTAACAGGGGTAGAGGTCAGGTATGCATACATCTTACCCTCCCCAGACCCTAACTCAGGTGGGATATGCTAGGTTCGTTTGGTTTGGTTTTTAGAATAGGAAGGTTAACTTCTGCCAACGATTTGTTTTAATTTTAGTCATTTATTAGGTCTACAGTAAATCATACATTTACATACACACATATACAACCCTGTGTAAGAGGAACATCTTTCTCCATGGACATTATATATACTCTGTTTGTGCATCAGGTCCATGAGTCATGGCTTCCACCTTGGCTGGCAGCTCATTTAGTTCACTGTCAGGTATATTCCATTCTTGTTTTCTTTTTCCTGCTTTTCTAATCATTGTGAAGTGTATGTCCCTGGAAACTGTTGTTCAGGGTTAACTGTGAGTTTTTTATTTGGTCATGTATCTTTTTCATAATGTGCAGTCCTTCATGGTAACTCATTGGAATGTGTATGGAAGACCAGCTCGGGATGTTGCAATTCAAAAGGTTTTCTAGTTATTCTGATGTAACCAATGTCTTGCTGTTCTTTGCTGGTTCCTGTTATTCTTATTTAATGTATGTTAATATTTGTTTAGGCACTGGAAACAGAAGCTCAAGTTCGAAAGTGGGCATGGCCCTATATTGATGTGGTGCAGACAGTAAGTTGGTCCCCATAAAACTATACCTGATGCTCTGAATATGTTTTAAGTACTGTATTTTCATATATGTCATGCTTAAGTTTTCTCAGAGCTTTCTCATGGATTCTCTCTGAGAGTGATTTGCTTTTAACCCTTTCCATCCATGGCTTTAATCTTTTGCCCCATGTTTACAGTTTTGCTGCAAGCTTTACAAGTTTTTCTCCCTGTAATTTTTATATATTTTTGTTACAAATGGATCGATCTATCTATGATGTTATCTAATGTTGTCTCTTTATCTGCTGCAGAAGTGGATCCCTATCATCAAGGAGCAGTGGCTTACATTCGTGACGAATATGGAACCACACGCGCAAATACTTACTGCCAAGACTGTTGAAATTTACGATGCATCTAAGAAAACTTTAAAGCCTCACATTGTGAACATACAAACTTTTGTGGATCCATACATTAAGGTCTTGTAGGTTTTTGCCAATCATTTCATGCATGAATTTGTGGAAGTATTTATATATGAAAATCGGGATTCCATTTACCCTGTGCTATATATTTGCAGGAAGCCAAGAAGCTCATGAAGCCCTATATTGATCAGCTTTCGAAGACACTGAAACCTCATCTTAATAAAGCACGGGTTTTCCTTAAGCCTTACACAAAGAAATTACTCCGTGGTTATCGAAGGTTTTCAAAGGCCACCCTAAAATACCATCGCCGGGTAAAATTGTGGCTTTTTCATTTCTTACTTTTTGACTTGTTGAGATCATTACTGTTATATGTGCATCTTTTATAAGTTAATCTTAGGGGCTGTTTACCTAAATGCTTACCCGGTAAGCGCTTACTGTTAGGAGTCAACACTATAATTTATTTTCTAGGTAACATTGTAGTATGTCAAAATGGTATTGTGTGCAACAATATATATGGTAAGCGCTTACCCAGGTAAGAGTCGTCACCCTCGCTTACCGGGTAAGACTCTCTATCCTTATCATCGCTCTTACTAGGTAAGATTCTTGGGTCTTGCCATGTTCGTCCAGTGAGGAAAATTGCCCGGTAAGCACCTACCGGGTAAGCGTTTAGTAAACGGCCCCTTACTCTTTGATTTGTTTAGATCGTTGTGGTTGTGCTTCTCTTGAAGTTATGCCTAGATATGTGATATCATAGTATTAAGCCATATGAACTTTTTTCATCTGGAAATTTTTGACATACAAACTTGATGCCATTAAGGCTATGTTTGGCAAAAGTAGCTAATAAACTAGTCATTTTTTTAAAAAGCTAGTTGATAAGCTATATCACATAGTGATAATGTAAAGTTGACTTGAATGGATATGTTGAAAAATTAATTGGAACAATACAAGGGATGTAATTGGAGAAAAGCAGAAAAAGCCTCTGGAGCTTATTGAGACGCTATTTGAAGTAGCTTTTCAAAAAGCTAGCTTATGGCTAACCAACAGGGCTTTTTCAGTAAGTGCAAAAAGTAAGCTAGCTTATGGCTGCCTGTTCATCTCTAGAGATAATGTAACTATATCTTGACTGTCAGGGGAAAGTTTTCAGAAGGCATTTTGGGAATCTAGAAAGCTGCTTAACAACCAGATCATGCCAAATGCATGTTTTAGATACGTGCAACTGGAAGTATGACTTAAATACTTAAAATTAAAGTTCAATTTGGGAGTTTCAAGATTGCTGCATCCTGTGTCCTAAAAACTGTCAACTGAAGCTACTCAGTTGAGTGGCCTAGTGCTTACTCACCTAAACAAGGATTATTTGGTTTTATTTTTAGACTAAAAGTAAAAATAATATAACATATTTTTAGATTAAGCACCTTTATTTGATCACTTGGTTTGTGGAAAAAATGATTACTCTATGAACCTTAGAGAGATTTCACACTGGAAGTTAAAACCCAAAAAGGATTGAAGCTAAACTGAAAAATGATTGGAAAAATTATGTCCAATTTAGTTAAATTGCCTCAAGTGGTGATTTTTACGATGACAGTTATCAATTAAGGGGCCGTTTACCTAAACACTTACCCAGTAAGAGCTTACCGGTAAAATTCAACACTATCACTTACTTACCGGGTAAGATTTTAGTCCACCAAAACGACATCGTATGTAAGAACTTACCCGGTAAGTGCTAACCATGGTAAGAGTCGTCGCCATCACTTACCGGGTAAGACTCTTAGTCCTTGCCTTTGCTCTACCGGGTAAGATTTTTGGTCCTTGCCATATTCATCTGGTAACGTGATGTGACTTGGTAAGTGCTTACCCCGGTAAGCATTTGGTAAACGGCCCCTAAATGATGCAACCTAGGCTTCTTCAACTAGGCTGGCCCTTATTGCATTGAATATATAAAAATACATATCAAGTAGGGGTAAGCTTTACGGACACAGCCCCTCTACTCCCTGGGGTAGAAGAAAGATCTTCCTACATCTTACTCTCCCCAATCCCTATTCCGTACGGGATTTACTGGGTTTGTTTGGTGTGGTAATATATTAAATTGCTGGTCTTCTATGAAACAATTAGTTATTTTGTTCAATAATGCTTGGTGAGTGGCTGATCTTGCTTCTATTCTGGAAGGTTCGTGCTGACATTCATGAAATGCTGAAGCGCAATGAGTTTACACGTCCTTTTGCAAGTAATGAGCTGGTGTGGTTTATGGTATGTACACTTATTATGCAGTGTTCTGCATTGAATTTGAAGTATCTGACTGATGCTACGATTTTTGAACATAAACATATGGCTGCATAATGATGAGATCATCACTTAACTGCTGCAGGCCTCTGCTTTTATGGTCTTTCCTGTGATGGTTCTACTTTCAATGGTGTCAGCTTTATTCAGGTTGATTCTGTAAAAGCTTTTATAGAACTCTTTTTATGTTGCTTTTATGTTCTTGAGGGGGGGATGTAAATATCTGACCTTTACCCTAAAGAGTAGAGCAGTTGGTTTTGTGAACTATTCTGATACCCGTTAACATTTATTTTCAATGTGGTGTATAAATTTGGGTTGTTGGCTTTTGCAGTAAAAAACCAAGAAGACGTACCCGTACTTCCCATACAAACCATCCAAGACGTAGGGCAAGACGGGTGCATCAAGACAAGGCAAACGCCTCAAGATAGTTACTACAGTGTTCTTCTATCAGGTGTGATGTACATTTGTTGTTCATATGGTGATAGAATCTCATAAACATAGATCTTCTATTTGCTTTTATGACTTGCATAATCTCCTTTTCTTTTGCCTCATCTTCATGCGTGTTGCTGTTCATTATGGTTTTCATTATTGTGCACGTGTTTCTTTTCACTTCTTTTCAAGATTGATGCACATATTACTTCATGTTTAGAGTAAATTTCTGGTGCCTTAAGGATGTTACAATTATGCAAAACCCTCGTTACCTTCATTTCGGTACCTTGGATGTCGCATCTCAAACAGTTTGGTACCTAACTTACATGTGAGAATGCATGAAAATGCAACGTACTTTGATCTGATACCTGTTTTGTGTAACATACTTTGGTCTAAATGTTTAAGATATTACATGTGAGGGACCAAAATGCAGGTTCTGAAATTACATTATGAAATAGGAATCGGACCAAAGTACTTTGCATTTTCCACCAATTTGTCTATAAAAGAACTGCATTTTACTGCCTAATTTCAGAAGTCACTTGTAAAAAGTCTGTAAGGTCCTATTCCTTTAGGGTAATTAACATTATCATTTTGAGGGTCCAATATATGTGATGCGACTAGAGTCAAAATATGATTGTTGGTCTTGACATGATTAATAATGAAGATGGGGATCCACAAAGGGGAGAACGAGAAGTGGATGAAAATGACCTAAATAGAAGACTTATTTATCTTTTTTTGTTTGAATTAGTGTATATCACGTAAAAGTAACTTTGTACTCAAGTGAATGTCTGATAGGAGCTCTTGGAGAGCAGGTAGTGGATCCATAGCCAGAGGAAACGGGAGGCAGGGAGCTGGAGAGGTAGAGGGTGGGAAATAGCGTTAGAGGTCAGTTAGACTAGGGGTATGTAGTTTTCATAAATTGGTTATGTTATTCTTGTACCTGCTTCTGCTTGTATGTTTTTGCTTACTCCTAACCGGCTTTTCGAATTTTCGACACACTTTTCACAAGCTGGGGCCTTTATGGAAACAACCCTCTACTTCATTGAGGAGAGGTCACCCAGATCCCACCTGCGGGTGGTATATACTGGGTTCGTTCAGTTTACTTTGGTTAAACGTCTGCAAACAACTCTAAATGTTGATCCAAGATGGTCTGAATATACGATATTCCTTCTTGTTGACAATCTACATATATCCAGATAGGAGACTAGAGGCTGTGTTCTTCCAGTCAGTATAGCTTATAGGGCTGGTCCCTAGTCCCAACTGGACCCTGCTATAACTGGTCCTGCTTCTATATCCAGGCCTTCTAATGACTTGTTGATCTCCATCATACCCATTGGTCCTAACCAGATCTTTCCATACACTCGGTGTTCATTTATTTATGGGCCGTTTAACAACAAAAATGGATAAGCTTACTTGGTAAGAGTCATCGGGTAAGATTACTAGTCATCAAAATAACATAGTATAAGTGTCTCTTATCAGGTAAACAAATGGGTAGCAGTCACCACCCTCATTTACCAGTTAAGAATCGTCAGTTCGTAAAATGACAGGATAAGATTGTTGGTAAAGACTATCATCTCTTACCGGTAAGAGGTAGAAAGCGTTTAAGTAAACAACCCTTTAGGATCCTAATCATTTCATCCATCTTTCTAAAACATTGTCAATTTGCAACATTTTCGATTGGAATATATTGGTTTGGTTTTCTGATCATTTGATATATTTCTAAAATGAACAGATAAGATTGTAGAGCCAGCAGCAGAACATAATGGAAGGCTGGTGATGGTAGAAAGAAGGTTAGAATCAGAAATCAGCAGTATTATGTCAATACTTGGAAATACAAAAAACATGATGGTAGTAATCAATATCAGATCCTTTTTGCCCTCTCTCCATTTACAAATATTGGTTGTTTGCTAATCACACATGGGCAATCTGGTTAACCATAACCATAGCCCGGTTATGGTCTATGGTTATGGGGCTATGGTTATGGTTACGGTTGCCCTATGTCTAAATTTGCTGATCAAGATAATAATCTTGTAATAACAAAAAGGAAGAGTAAACTAGAAAAAATTGTTCATGCACTGTTGGTTCATTTACTTTCTAGTAAACTATGACTTTTTGTGCCTGTGGTTTGCCAAATTATCGTTGTTCTTGTTGACGACTACTCGGTTAGTGGTTTATTGTTAAGTATGTGGGATGAAAACATCAGTGAATTGTAAAATGATTGTAAAGCATAGGAACGAAAACCGTAGTTTCGAGAGCATATGGACGAAAAAGGAGCAATTTTGAGCAAATCATAGGACGAAAAAAGCAGTAATTAGTGTAGATGTACCATTTTCTAAAAGCTCTTTGAAGTAGGGGTGTTCAAAAACCCGATCAACCCAACCCAATCCAACATGAAATAACCCAACCCGAAGCAACCCGATGTCTAATCAAGTTGTAAAATTGTCAAACCATAGGTATTGGGTTGATATTAGGTTACTATTATTTGAACCCAACCCGATGGACCCGATATCCTTTTATTTCTTGGATTTAATATGATTGTTGAATTTCTATTAATATATACATTAGACAATTACACTATCATGTATGCTTTTCATATACACATATTTTCAATCTATTCATATTTATATATAACTCATTCAGTAACTGTGAACATATATATGTAAATTGAGAAAATTAACTGAATGTGATATACGTAAGAAAATTTGAATAAGTTGTTTCAAATGGTTGACGATGAAAAAGAAATTATGAGTAGAGAAATAACATATTCAAGGTTAGAAAAATATTTTAATATACCAAAGTATCAACCTGACTACCCCGTACAGGTTGGGTTGGGTTGTACTTTGGTTTGGGTTGGGTTGGGTTGGATTAAAATTTTTCCAAACTGCAAGCATTGGATTAGATTGTTCAAATGTCCTCAACCCGATCAACCCAACCCATAAACACCCCTACTTTGAACTCTACAATTATAATAACCAATTCATAAACAACTGATATGGTTATTATCTTTTATCAACATACAAAAACTACTTTTATCATTAAAATTAAAATAAATTACATATTTATTTTTAAATTTAAAATATCTAAATTATAATAAAATTTTGAATTAAGGAACCAGAATTTTATTATATTTGATTTCACAATAATAACAATTTATTTTTGAGGGCTTTGTTATCAGGTTCAAAATGGCATGAGACATGATATGGTGGTAAGGTCAAACCTTACACTCTACAACGAGGATACGGTGTTTTTTAAAGGGTGACATAAGATGACAAATTTGTATGTCATATTGAATTACTGATGGCTATAAAAACCTTGCATTCGACTGGAACCTGTTACTTGACCCTGAGTTGACCAGGATTGGAAATCCTCGAATTTATAAACCGGGGATGGGGGCACTCTTCATCCCCGACTCGAACCCGAGTATTAATTATACATTTTTATGTATGTATGTATGTATGTATGTATGTATGTGTGTGTATAATTATATAGTGAGAAACCCAATGAGTATATATAATGTATACATATAATCAATCTTCCATGATAAAAACTTGTAAAAAATTACATTATTGATTTGGTTGTTCATAGGAAATTTTTGTTGATATAACAACATGATTATATAAAACTTCAATTATTAAGTATAATATATATATATATATATATATATATATGTGTGTGTGTGTGTTTTTGTTTGAACTAATTTTTTTATTTACCCTTATATAATTCTATTTAGAGATGACAACGGGGTTGGGTGTATTACGAATTGCAATCATCATCCCGATTCCTGTAGGGAAATAAGATTTCATCCCCATCTCCATCGAAGAAGTGGAGACTTTTCCCCGTCTATACAATTAATTTTTTATATAATGTTTTTATATATTATATATAAATGCCAATTTTATGTTTAAACGACATATAATGCTAAAAATAATAAGGGTTAAATGCATGAAATAATAACCTACTTTCATACATTTTCTTATTATAGCATTCTACTTTCATTTTTTTCTTTATTACAATAATATACTTTCAAATTATTTTTTATTAAGACATCGTACTTTGGAAAATATACTCATTAGAGCAATGAGTAACCTTTTAAAACAGGTCAACTCTTTAAAAGGGTTTTTTATATGTTAGCGAGATAAATTGTGATCTAATTTTTTTTAATATTGTTATATTAATGAATAATTCAACAAAATTTAATTAATTTAATATATTTATATGTCGAGTAAATTTTTTTTAAACAAGTATGATATATTCTTTAAAAGTTGATTTTTGTGGATAAGAAAAGTAACAATTTTTATTTTATTTTTTCAAAAAATACATATTTTATAAAAATGTTAGCGAGATAAACCATGTTTTACTAATATTGGTGTATTAATGAATAATTTAGAAAATTTCTAATTCATTTAATATATTTATAAAATAATATATAAAATGTCTAAATAATAAAATATTAAAATTAAAAATACAATGTTGTAATAAGAACTGGTAGATGCTATAATAAAATAACTTTGAAAGTACAATGTTGTAATAAGAAATGTAATCAGTTATAGTACATGTGAACAGCCTACACGAACAGTAAGGTGGCATGAAAATCTGAAATAATAGGTAAATCAGAAGGTTAACCAATACTATAATAAGTAAATTTTTTAAAGTACAATATGCTAATAACAAATAATTTGAAAGTACATTGTTGTAATAAAAAAACTGGAAGTACAATGCTATAATAAGTAAATTTATAAAAATAAGTTGCTATTTTGTGCATTTTGCCCAAATTTTAAGTGTTGCATTTATATATACAAATATGTATTCTATATATTATTCAATCAGATAATGATCCTAAAATTTACATTTATATTAGAAGAAGAAAAATCATACAGATTATTATTATAAAATAGTTTTTGATTAAATATTTTTAATAGAACTAAACAAAGTAATTTACAATTTTGTTTTAATTGTGAAACCATGACATATATGAATTCATGAAACTGTGAATGTTGTGGTTAGATAAATCTATAAAATTATAAAATCAAAAAAGCTAAAAAAATTAAACTATAAATTTTTTTTTTGAAAGAGTCGACCCAATCATGAGTGAAAATATCATGGAAGAAGAAATAGAATCTCCGTTCTTTTTCGAGAAAAAGGTTACAGCCTTTTCCATTTTAGTTGGGAAAGATCGACGGCTATATATGTCTTTGGTTTCATTGCTTGTTGTTTTGTCCTATAATAACAAACTTGCAAACCAGTTTTGGTTATCATAAAGAGATTCGTCGTTCTTGACCCCTTGTAAATGATGCATGCCTCTTTAAAACGCCATAATGTGAGTCACGTCTTACAAAAACGTTATAGGTCTTATCGGAAGGACGGGAACACGTTTTGCATGATAAACTAGTAGTAGGAGGTGTAATTCAGATGTAAATATATAACTTATGTATGTTTTGAATAGGTCAAATTGTATGAAAATGCAACATACTTTAATATGATTCATATTTTGGATAACATACTTTTAGAAATTTAGTTTTGGTACCTGAGATATAAAATCTCAAACTTTGAAGTACCTGGTTTGCCTAGACATCAGGTAACCGGTTTATTAATAATGACGTGTAATAAAAAAATATGACGTGGAAATAATAATTACATGGAATATGCTTTACAAATGATATGTAAAATCATAAAGTTTTTTTATTAACTTGGATAACCAACTCGCTATGCGAGCCGACTAATCCTAGGGCGACCACCTGCTTTGCAGATAGCTCAGAGTCACCGCATTTGAACCTCCGTGGCCACAAAAAGATTTTTATTCCTCATCGGATTTGAACCTGAGACCTTTTGGTACTTTTGACATTTGGAGCCAAGCTCAAACCAATTAGACACCACCCTTGTGGTTAAAACCATAAAGTTGTTATTACTAAAAACCTTTCTTCTACTTCGTCTAATCGCTTTCTTCTGTCCCCCCCAAAATTCAAGTCAGAATCCCCATTGAGAGACTCGGCATCTTCGCCTAATCCCCATTGAGAGACTCGGCATCTTCGCCTAATCCCCTTCTTCATCTTCACCAGCCATACAATCGACATCAATGTTTATGTGGTTTGAGGTATGTGAAATCGTGAATCTCTTCTACATCATTGATCAAGTTTTCAATTTTAGGGTTTTTTAATCTCCATCTTTTAAGTTTTTAAGGTTGTGAGGTTTGAGACTTAGAATCTGCTCTATCGGTTTGAAATGAGTACCGGGTTAGTTTAATACTCATCATTTGATTTATTTCTACGTTTTGGGCCATGAAAACTCGTCTATTAAGTTTTGGGTTACTGTTATTTAATTGTGATGGTTTAAAATTTCACCGATTTAAAATTTAATCCTATGGAGATGTGCACTAGTGGAGATTATTAAAACGTATACACTTATTAACTTGATATGTACCACTAGTGTAGATGCTCTGTTTGATGTTTTTGGTTTATGTTTTTGCTTCAAAATATTTTCGTTCATTATGGTTTATGTTTTTGCTTCTTCAAAATCGTTCGTTCATTATGGTTTATGTTTTTGCTTCTATATTAGAACTTTTTTTATACCGTTCATCATGGTTTATGTTTTTGCTTCTACATTAGAACTTTTTTTTCACTGGTAGGGAGCATGAGGAAGTGGATGTTAGTAATGATGATGACCTTGGAGGTCCAATAGACTTGAATTAGAACTGGTTCAGTGATAAATTTTATGATGTCGATCAAGATGATGGAGCTAGTTTAGATCATCTATCAGACGGTGATGATGCAATTAAGGAAGTCCGATTACAGATAATGAACATTAATAATAAAGAGAAGAACATAAATGTGGAAGATACTGAAGATGGTAATCAAAACGTGACTGTGGACGTAGAAAAGTGTCTAGAAATGGAGGAAGATGTGTAT